TGTTTTAGAGAAATTTTTTGTTTTATAATAGATGATGTTTTCAAATTTGTATCTAAAATTAATTGTGTTTTTGTTGTTTTTGACTGTTTAAATTCTACAAATTGTTTTTTTTTAGTTGGTTGAATTGTATTGGAATTGATGATAAAACATATTTTATTTAAAAAAAATAAAAAAAAAGTAAATAATTTTTTAACCTATGTACAATAATCTTAAAAATCAAGTAATATAAAATAGAGGAAGTACAAAATTACACTTGTAGGCTTCCGATTGGGAAGAGTTTAAACGAAACATTTAAGGGGAAATGGTCAATTGTTACCTCGACACTTGTACACAATTCTATTTCGTTATTATACAAAAAAATATGTGCAAACACATATCCATACAATAATAAATTCACATTTTATACCCAAATTTTGGTATTTTAATTTTTATATATATACACTATGGAAACTGAATTCCGCAATAAAAATTTATATATGAATATAGAGAAAATATTTTAATTTTAAGAAATATCTATAAATCTGATAAAAAATAAAAAATGTAAAGCGAAACTATATTTATGTGGATCGAATATACAAAGAGATCTCGAGTGAGATGTGTTCACAGACTAAAATCTAGTGTAAAGTTCTTGTAGATGGAAAAGTTGACGAATTCTGCTCGAACTCCTTGTATTTATAGCTCCATCCACTATAAATACATTTGGTGATGATTCCTAACAAATTTGTCAACTCTAATTTTTTTTTGAATTTGTGTTTCACTTATTAAATCATAGCATTCATCAATGAGAATAGGAGTTTTCAAATTAGAATATGCATCAATAATGCAAAGTATGTGACTATTCTCATAATCATAAAGTTCAAAGGTCGAATCGAGTGTACATTTTAGTTGGCATGGTGGCACACAATATATATTATCTCTCTGAATTTACGAGTTACGTTTATCTCATAAGGTGTGAGCTTCCTCCTTTCTAATGATGCTCGGTGTGATATAAAGTTCAATCTCAACTGAACTGCTAACTCGCTCTTGGTCATAGTTGGACTTTCTTTGGAAAGCTTGTCCAACTCCACGTTTTATTCTGGTGTTAGTATGTTTTCATCAAATTGTGGCTCTACCTTTAACTCGCCATGAATATATTCTTCAAATATGGTCTTGAGTTCAATGCCTAACTCGTCTAATTTGGTTGAGGATTCTCCTTCAGATTCCTCCATACCATGGTTTTGTAAGTACATAACTACTTCTCGAAGGGTTGGTATATGTCCATCCTTATAGAGGGGAATAAGAATGTTTAAGGTAGCTTTCACCACACCGTAAAAAAATCCACCATCATCCATTGAGAAAATTTATTTTTCTCAACTACAAATACTTGAAAAACACAAGAATAAACAAAAAAAAGAAAAATTAGAAAGCAAAAAATAAAATCCTAGTCTAAACTCTTTTCTTAAACCTAAAGGCAACGCCACCAGTCCCCGGCAACGACGCCAAAAATTTGACGTGTGTCTAATTTTACCTCAGACTAGACAAAGACCAGTCGCAAGTGCACGGCGATCAAAGTAATATTTAATGTGCTTAAAACTATTTATAGGAAAGGGAAAGTGTATCCGGGTCAATCCTAGTCAACCGGACCAACCCCGATCAAATGCAGCAAAGTGTCTTCGGGCCGACCTATCCGGCCGACCATGCGAACTAGAACTAATTGGCCCAGAAGTTGGCAGCATGTGCTTATCTTCTTCGTCTTTTGGGCCGACCAAACCGACCGGCCACACGAGCTAGAATAGGTCGGGTCCAGACTAGGTAGTGTGCACTCCTTTTGAAGCTTCGTTTGGCTTGGAGCAGGTTGTGCAGCCGACCAGTCGAGCTAGAATATGTCGGCCCCAGAGTAGGCAGTTCGTAATTTGCTCGGTTCTTCATCTTCTTGGTCATTCTCCTCATCCGTTTCATCTTTCCTTCCTCATAGACTCCTTTGCTACCTAAAGTGGATGAAATATGCAATGCAAATGCAAGAAAGAAAAATCTAGGATTCTAAGATTCAACCTATATTAAATTAAGCCTAAAATGCACAAAAACATGTAAAACATAAGTCTAATGTGTAAAAATTCTAATTAAAACATATGCTAAAAACGCTAAAATATGAATGCATCAACGGTGCTCTCGAGTGCTTTTCCTCTGTCCCTCTTGACTTTGCAGGACGCTTAGTCAGCTATGTTGCGCTCTGACTCCTCGTACTGTGAGCAGCGTCTGTTGCGTCGGATCAAATTTGATATGCTTTAACCGTCATCTGTGGCATGGGTCTTCTACTTTTACCATATCACGTGTAGAGTAAACGGAGTTTTCACCCATTGACTGAGATTTCAAATATCAAAAAAGAGGGAAAATGGGTTTAGGCGCGATAATTTGGTGTTTTCCTCCTTGTTTGGATCCCTATAAAGAGACTCATGCCACATGTTTTTTTCTTAGGTGGTGATACCCCGTGACATTCTTCTCACATCCCTCTGGGTCTTGTACCTCCGGATAGCAGGTTTTGGCTATCAAAGG